CCCTCGAGGTTAACCATGAGTTATTAGGCTATTTAAGATGTTTCCCAAAGATCCACAATTACTGAAACGAGTGACCCTTTAATTTGTTTTGTCATACATGCGAATATGAGTTTGATCATTTGCACAATGATGCATTTTTAGAAAGCCTTCGTGTTCCTCTTTTTGTGTGGGATGTATTCTCTGTGTGCTTAGATTTCTTCAAACAGTCCAAAAATATGCAATTCAGGTGGACTGGGAGACTCTAAATTACCCACAGGTATGAATGTGAGCCTGTTAGCCTGGCAGCCTGTCCAGGGTGTTTCCCTGCCTTCAGCCAAATGCATGCTGGGATTGGCTCGGGCCCCCGTTGACCCTGAGTAGAGATAGGTGGGTAAAAAGCAGGAATGAACGCCTCGAGTCATCACGCTAATAACTCGTTTGGTGCTTCTCTTTCAGAACAGCAAAAGACTTTAAGATGATGAGAGGCATGAAGAAGAAACTCAGCCCTCGACATTCTGTGGGTGATTTTTATTTTTTTTAATGTGCAAGAATATTTTTGCCAACTACACAACATTACACTCACTGTTACACATTTCTCTCTATGCTGTTATGCCTTAAAGCAATTAATACTGATTACACAATATTATATTTTAACTCCTGTAAGTTGATTCTGATTTAGAGGTACGATGAGTTCTGTGTTTTCTGACAGGAGCTCATGCCCTGGGATCATCCATACCTCAGCGGTGTCTTGCGTGCTGAAAGGTGAGATTTAGCTTTTATGAAACATATTTTTCAGCTTGCTGTCACTTGATAGTCATTCACATGTTTGTAATTCCATATTGCTTCACAGCGGCAGCTCTTATTACCTCCCACTTCTTTATCAAGTGTCGCTTTTTACAAAAGGTGTTAGGAGAGACGCATGGGAGTAAACTTCAGGTCTGATTTTCAGTCTAATCGACCTCCTTTTTTTTTTTTTGTAACCCAATGGCTTCTTATGACTTGATGATCTAATCAACCAATCACATGGCAGCTACTCACTGCAATCAGGCATGTAGACACGGTCATGATGAGCATCAGAGTGGGAAAGAAGGAGGATTTAACAACATTGTTGGTTGTTGGTGTCAGATGGTCTGCACTCAAAAACGCTAAAGTTGAACATGGCGATAACTTTACTGTACTCAAGGGACCCCCACAGTCATCAGATCTCAATGCAGTACCCAGTGTCAGCAAGCCAGATGTAACTAAATGAAAACAAATGAAGTTGGACTAAAAATAAAGACTTGGAATTGTATTAAAAATTGTATTAAAAAAACAGGTGAGGTTCAAATGCATCGATGCGTGATATGTGCTCGCATGTGCTGGCAAACCGTCCTGGATGTCACCCATGACGTGGAACAATGTGTTCCACAGTTGACTCGCACTTAAATAAACTGTGGTTGTCTTTGGCATTCAGCAAATTCACGGAGCCATAAGTTTCACTTTTATTAGTTTTTCTTTTCACTTTCCTTAACGTTTAGTGTTTTAAACACTATATAAATACATTTTTATACAATTAAAAAAAAAAAAAAAGCCAGATATACAAATACGATGCAAATTAAAAGTCCTCTATGGAAACACATTTCAATGATGGTTCAATGAAATCATAAATGTGAAATAAAAATAATTTCACATTTCAGGCTTTAAAGGGTTAATGAGCTGCACTTCACAGAGCAGAGGCTAATTATATGTTGAGTCTGGGGAGGCATTAGGTAACTCTTTATTGCAGACATTAGTGATCTGTCAGGTGTTCTTTGAACTTAAGCAGCTACTAAGTTTTCTTGAAACTTGGACTTGATGAGTCTTTACAGATTTTCTGAGGATGAGTGGGGTCTGTGCTCTCCTTCCTCATGCTGCCAGTCCATCCATCCTCTTCCGTTTATCCTTGTCAGGGTCATGGGGTGGGGTTAGAGGCTATCCCAGCTACCATAGGGCGAGAGGCAGGGCACACCATGGATAGGTTGCCCGCCTGACCCAAGGCTAACACAGAGAGACAGACAACCATTCGCATTCACGTTCACACTTATGGACAATTTAGAATGACAGGTTAACCTAACGGCACTAAGCGCATGTCTTTGGACTGAGGGAGGAAGCCGGAGTACCCGGAGAGAAACCACGCAATGACAGGGAGCCACCATGCTGCCTAAAAAATGATGTGGCATTTAAAAAAAGAAAAGCCCTTTTGAATCGGTGTATGACGGCGAGGAAAGGAACAGCCAAGATCCCAAATTTAAGTTGGTCCTCACAAAGACGGTCATACAAGTACACTCTTACATGCTCACATTATGTTAATTCCTCCCACTGAGGCTCTTTAGTCACAATCGCAGGCTTTTTTTTTTTTGTTTCTCTCAGTCACTCATTTTCTTTTTATCGGTGCTTTTCCAGCAGTACCAGCTTGAACCGGTGTGTGTTCAGACCCTGCTGAAACAGGGACTAGAGCGTGTGTGTGGTAAACACAGCTAGTAGCTGTGTTCAGCAGTGGCCTGTTATTCATCACTGATAATATATGGATGTGGCGTTCTAGCTAAACAACCGTTTTGGCTCGGTGGTCTTTATCTTTGATGCCTTATAAGCAGCATGAATGAAAGGAGCCATTTTAAGCATGGGTGGCCCCAGGAGAGAGACGGCCTCGCCAAACCTGAGCCCTGGCACTGTGGTGGCTTTGCCCTGCCAGCTGAGCTCACATATAAGTGATAGTCAGGATCTGTTTTCTTTTTTTCTTAGCTAGTCAAGTGAGCAACCTGCAGCTAAACGTATACAGAAATATGTCCTGGTTCAAAGCGGGCAAGTGTTACTATTCTTTTTTCATTTGGGCTTCAAGTTCTGGTTCATTAATTTTAAAAAAAGGGCCTTTTGGGCCATTTTGACACTCTACAAAATATAAAATTTGAAGTCCCACTGCTGATCTTCCTGTTTTAGAAGATGCACACGATTCCTATTTGCTGTTTTTATGTACTTTGTTGGATCACGGTGCTGAAGGTCACACGCTCCTTCTTTCATTGATATGTTCTGATTTGTCACGGCAGGTACAACATAGAGCCCAGTCTGTACAGTCCCTACTTGTCTCTTGGTTCCTGTATGGAGGGTTTGAACAATCTCTTCTCTCAGCTGTACGGCGTCTCCCTCATGTCTGAACAACCCAGAGCTGGAGAGGTCTGGAGCGAGGATGTCCGCAAACTGGTAACTCATTATTAGTGAGGAAAAAAGGTTCGCTTGTGTGGAATAGTCTGTGCCAAGCGCTAATCCACGGACCGTTTTTAAAGATCAAAGTTTCTGATGCTGTGTCTGTGTGCAGTTATTGGGTGATTACATCACTGTGCGTGCATTTCTCCAGGCTGTGGTCCATGAGACGGAGGGATTACTGGGATACATCTACTGTGACTTTTTCCACCGGCAAGATAAACCTCATCAGGTATGAGCACACACTCATCGACGTACTCGAGATTTTAAAGTATCTCTTCCTTCTTTGAAATGTGGTTAACCGTTCCCAAACGAGTTTTGTAAAATGTGGATTAAAAAACAGAAAACTCACATTTTATTCACACTCGAACATAGAAACCATATTTTAATATATACATGTTTAAACTTAGACTAATTCATGAAAAAAGCAACATATTAAGTAAAGTTGGGACTGGGGCAGCGAAAGACTGGAAAGCTAAATGCTACTAAAGGGAAACAGCTGGAGGAACATTTTGCAACCAGTTAGGTTAATCGACAACAGGTCAGAGTTTCACAGAGGTAAAGATGAGCAGAGGTTCACCAATCTGCAAAAAACTGTCTACAAATTATGGGAGAACTTCAGAATAATGTTCAACATCAATGTCTCTTAATCGACATAATATTAAAACATTCAGAGAATTCTTTGTGCAGAAGGCTGAAATTCAATACTGGATGATGCTAAAATGATACATTTTCTCTGTGTAAAGATTTTTATTTCTATTGTGAGTAAAATTTGTTCATGAGATTTGCAAATCTCTACATTCTGTTTGTTTTTTCACATTTTTAAAAGTGTCCCAACTTTTTTTTGAGTTTGTATTTAATTATGTTTTGGTAACTTCATAAATATCAGCATTATTTTCTATAGTAGCGCTTTAGCCTCACTCCTCATTTTCCTCCCAGGACTGTCACTTCACCATCCGCGGTGGGCGCCAGTGCCAGGAAACGGGTCAGTACCAGTTGCCAGTCGTGGTGCTGATGCTGAGTCTGCCTCACCCTACCAAGGGCGCCCCCACCTTGCTCACTCCCGGCATGATGGAGAACCTCTTCCACGAGATGGGCCACGCTATGCACTCAATGCTGGGACGCACTCGCTACCAGCACGTGACAGGTGCGGAGTGACCCTTACAATGAGTAGGGCTCTTCAGTGGACCCTGGTTTGCTTGAGGATTTAGAGAAGTAATAATATTGGAACATTATGGCTTTGCATTTCCAAATGTCGCAAGGTAGAATTACATAGATTGATACAGAGCTGTAGGAAGGGGTTATACATTACACTGTGGTGAATTGAACAGGGAAAGTAAGCCCCGAGGAGAGGGTAGACGATAGCTGGCTGCTAACGCTGTCATTTGATATGGTTTGGTTTGCAGATACCTTCAGTAGTAATTTAAGATCCCAAAGCCTTTATTTGAGCCTGACAACAGTATCTATTAACTGCACTGGAGGGTGTTTCTTTACTGGGCACAATGTTTAGACATGTTGGTTAAGTTTGTGTTGTGTAAATCTCATGACAGTTGCTCTTTTTCACCTCTGTTCTACACATCTATTCCTGCCATACGTGCTTTTGCTTACTTATTGATATTGCTGAGTGTCACAAGATCACAAGGACTTGTATTGATTCTGACTTTTGGTTGGGGCTGTAAAGACTTTGGTTTCTCATTCTGGCTCACTTTTTTGTTTTTAACACTCTAAGCATAAAAGCCAAAGCACTTAAGCAGCCAAGAATGAAGTCACCTATATCCTGCTTTGTTTTAAAGTCTCTCATCCCGTCTCTAGGAACCAGATGTGCAACTGATTTTGCTGAAGTCCCCTCCATCCTCATGGAATACTTTGCCACCGACTACCGAGTCATCAGCCAGTTTGCACGACACTATGAAACCGGACAGGTAAACCTTAAACACTCAAAATGATTTAAACTGAGGACAGATTTGAATCGATAAAGTACAGAAATATGTTGTGATGAAGTATTACGGTCATGGCGTTGCCATTAAAATTTACAGGATGAAGGCTTCAGATGAAAATTCTGTTCACTTGTAGCTTTAATCTGTTTTATTGTCTCTTTAGCCGCTACCCGAGAGTATGGTGGCTCGCTTGTGTGAGTCCAAAAAGGTGTGTGGAGCTGCAGACACCCAGTTGCAGGTAAGATTAATGTCTTTGCATGTACGTTGTCACAGAGCACGCAACAGCAGGAACCCACCATAACGCATGTCAGCTAATTTATGATGCTTGTGTGGCACTATTTTAGTGTTATGCCACCCCTAAGAAAAAAAAACAACAACTGAAAATCTGATACTAACACCCGTGGTGCAAAAGTCATAAAAAACATTAAAAAAAAACCCTGAGGAGCTGATGTGATAAAGAACAGTCCTCCTCCTCTGTTCATAAACAGCATCTGGTGGCTATGAAAGGTTTGGTTTTGTTTTTATCTTTTTGATTGGTTCCCATTCTGTTTTAGCCTTTATCCCTTTTTTTTTATTAGGAAAGCTCTTGGTTTTGTGCTCCTTGCTTATCTGTTTTTCTTTACAAAGGTAAAACTGATTCAAACAAGACAACTACAAAATATGTTAAAAGTTTAATGGGCATTCATGTCAAATGCTGTAACATTAGTCACCGTTTTTACTCTATTTCTGCAGTTTAAGTTTCGCACATTGGTGATTGTTTTTGCTTCTTTTTCTTGCTGTGTAGATTTTCTATGCAGTCTTGGATCAGATCTACCACAGAGAACCACAGAACCGCTCTACCACAGAAATCCTGAAGGACATGCAGCAGAAATTCTACGGCTTACCTTATGCACCCAACACGGTACAGCCTGACCACCACCCCGTGACTTATGTTCTCTGACGTCATGACTACAGGATAAAATACAAGCTTGGAAGTTGTTGATAATTTGGGGTTCTGTGCTCTTCTCTCAATACCCATTTAATGAGATCAGAGAAACCTTTTAGTCTTTAACTTTCTACTCACTTTTTCCTTTCTTATTCGCTGTCCTTCCTCTTTCTCTCACTGGTTTTTTATCTTTCACTCAGGCACAGCAGTGTTTAAAGGATTAAAGCTGTTTTTTGAAGGGCTGCTAAAATAACAAAGCAGGGGGATACTTTAAATGAACCCTCCCAGGGGGAAATATTTGAGCCTCTTCCTCCCTCCTCTTTAATGAAAAAAGTGCTTTATTCCCCCACTTTAGCAGCTGTGGGCTGAGGAGGATGAGGCCAGGAGACAGAAGGGAATCAAAAACAGTCATAATTTAGCCAGAAATGGCCTTCATACAGCATTTACTCAGGGCTGTAATTATGTGGGGTTGCCATCAGGAATAAAGATTACAGGACTGCTGTATATTCTGCCTGGACGACCGTGTCCCAGCCAGCGTTTCTCCTCACAGGAGTCCTCCCACTCCTCTGTACGTGCCTCGCTTTGTAGCTCCCTCTCCGGAGATTGCGGTTTATATTATATAGTTTCCCACTGTCGCAGTCATTTCTCTTCAAGCTTTCAAGCCATAAAGGAAGCTCTAACAGGCACTTTGCCTCCGTGTGCACAGCCACAACCACAAGCGAGATCGCTTTCCTCATTTGAACTGAGGGTGATTGCAGTGCTTAAACGTTGAGTATTAGATCACGATTGGATCGGAGCAAGTGAAAACAGATTTGTTTAGATCCTTAAAATGTTCTTTTTTGTGTGGTTTACCCTCTGAATCCATCCCTGTCTGTGTCCCGTCCTTCATGGAAACGCAGCTCAGGAAAAAGTTTCCGCAGTAAAGAGAAGTTTGGAGTGGCTAATGGGTTACGGAGAGCCACAGATTATAAACATTAGGGTGATGCTGACATGTGTATAGTTTATAGAGGAGGGCTATCAGTTCCCGCTGTGTACAGAGTGAGAGGATCAGCTGCGAGTAACACAGACCACATGCTCACTCTTGAGCTGAAGATAATATTTGGGAATAAGAGGCAGAAAGCGAGGTGTCCTGCTCACTTTTGTTGACATTTCTCTAACTGCCAATCGTGCCTTTAACACTTGCATGCCCGTCCCTTTTATTTCCCCAAAGGATGAGTCGATGTGTATGCGACGGCTCACGTTCTTCTCACAAGTCGAGTTTGGAAAGACCTAAAAATGTCTTTTAACTGACACCGAAGAGGAGCAGAGTAAAAAGCAAGGGCTTACTCAGTTTCCTTTTGTATGTGAGGATCAAAAGGATATCTTGCTGACATGTGACCCGCTCGCACTCTCTCAGAAAAGCTGACGATAATCATTTGATGTGAGACGAAGGGATTGAAAACAAAGAGAAGCTTGGAAGCCTGATAATCAAGGCACTTTGTGATGAGTACTTAAAGCATCCTGTCAGAGGCTGCGACATCTTACCAGTAGCAGCCTATTTATTACCAAAACATCAGCAGTCAGGAAGCACAGAGGAATCAAAGAGCCTCCGAATTAAAACAAATCAAAGCAGGCTTTTTGTCATTTTCTGGATGTGTTATCGCATTTGTTAGCGCGGCCTACATTTTCTGTTTCATAGCACTTGGAAGAGCTGATCCGAGCTCCTGTATTTGTGTTCCTGCTTCTCTAACCCACACTTTCCTCTCAGGAGTGCTATCGACTCTTATTAAAGTCACTACAGCCCTGAGGAGTCTTGTCAAGTCAACACTGGAGTGTTTTTCATGCTGTTGAGCGACCGCGCTTAGGTCAGCAGACACAACTCCTCTCAAAAAGCAGCCGTTTTAGAGCTTACAACCTACAGTGCTCTTATATCCCTTTATTATTCAAATTTCTGAAAAAAAGATTAACCTTTTTATGTTAAGGGTGATGTATAGCATCAGTAGGTTTTTTTAAAATATTTTTTCACAAACGTGAGTTTAATAGGTGTTTCCCAGCATAAAGAATTTAAGATTTTTTTTATCCACACTAATGCATTATTTGGCTTTTTGCTGGAGAACATGTACCTTGATGTCAGACGATCCTTTGGAAGCTTCTTGGGCACCAGTCTGCAAGCACATCCCTCAGTTTCATGATTATTTCACTTTAATTGGAGTTCAAATCTTTAACGTGTATGAAGTCTGCTTCCCCCCATGTGGATGTGCAAGGAGGCGTCTGCATTCTGTTATGTTTTATTACTACTGCAGCTGCTGCCTTTTCTAGCAGGCTGAATGTTTGAGTGTTTGCCAGCTGAATTTCCCAGTGTCGCCGTTTTCAGAGATCATAAAAGAGCTCGTCTTTATAGATATGGAGAAGCTCCCCCTCAGGCAACAACATGGGAGAAAAAGAGCGAACGGGGCTTTCTAGCTGTTAGGAATTTCCATGTTTTGTCCGTTTTATAAAAGGACCTGACAGGATGTGATTTAATGTTTGTCAAAGATGTTTGTTCAAGGAAACTTGTATTCATTTCACCAGTTTAATGTCATCAGTGAAGACGACGTAGGCAGCTCAAAAGATTGAGAATGTTTGGCGTATTTATGAGTCTGCTTTCTGTTAATATCTACTGACGTGTTGTTTTCACCTCGTCGGTCTGTAGTCAGGGTGTAGTCATTGCAAAATCTGGTCCTGAGTCACTGACTGAAGCAGGCGTTGCCACAAACGCCTCTGAAGTACTTTGGCAGGTGTTTATGTGTCTGACTGTCTGGAGGTTTCAGAGCAGGTTGTGTCAACATGAAGGGATGGATATTAAAGGGTGAAGTAATGAGATTAGAAATATGAGCTGAACTGAGTGCAGACACAAAAAGATGTAAAGTTAGTTTATAGCTAGGTTGTCCGAGATTGCTCGATTACACCTTGGTTACTTATTTCAAATATGACTGTTTTAAAGACATCAAACTGTTTGGTGTTTGGCCTTTTATCACCTCGGTGTTTTACAGGAACCCTTTAAAATGTCTCCCTAAACGAGACAAACAGATGATTTTTCTGTCGGCGACAGACAGCAGTACCTTGTAGATGCTTTGTTCTACCATGACATACCGAATATCTGCGTAAAGCTCGTCTTCTCTTCTTACCAAAACGGTTGACATTTTGTTTCTTATTTTGGCACTAATGGTGACGGAGGAGTTATGGTCATTTAAAGAGCACTTGTGAGATGTGCACGCTGCCAGGATGTAGGGTAATGGTAAAAAAAACCCTCACTCTATCCTTTTATTTTACCCATTTTTATTCGTTTTAGTGTAAGGTGCCGAATCTTCATGATTTGGTTTTTTAATAAAATGATTTTTTTCATTTTTAAATTTGATGGAGAGTGTGAATAGCTACAAAAAATCTGCTGTTTTTACTCATTAGCAGATTTTAAAATTTCATTTTTAAAGTAATCTGTCCGGCGCAACAGTCGCGTGTCACCTTGGATACGGTGACACGCGACAGATGCTGTTAGGAAAGGTGCAGCATTAGCTTTGTCAGGATTGGCTTCGCTGTCTTTAAAGTGATAAAGTTGTTTATTTTTCTTGTTCAATGTTCATTTTCTTCTTAAGGCATGGCAGCTGAGATTCAGCCACCTGATCGGGTACGGGGCCAAGTACTACTCCTACCTCATGTCACGTGCGGTGGCCTCGATGGTGTGGAAACAATGCTTCATAGAGGATCCTTTAAACAGGTGAGACCAAAGCTTAACATACTGTTAAATTAAACATATATATACGAGCTAAATTATAGGGAAAACTGTCTTATAAGGCCATAATCTCAAAGGGATGTCGTGTTGAACTTTACCATCAGAGCTTTCGCTGAGTTAAAGATGTTTTTAATAGAGAGAACCGAATAGAGGAGTTATTTTTGTAGGGAGGCAGATATTTAACTGGACACATGGGTCATTATTTATAAGGGCAATAAATACTAAATTGGCTGGAATGAGGAGTCCTAACAATGACTGCATTACCCTGAAACTGAAGTACAGGTGGTGAAGAGTTGCAGAAACATAGTTCATATCATCTGTATCAAAGCCCTTTAATGTGAATGTGGCATCTGCTGTGATTCACAGACACACACCAGCATCCACATTACCAGATCCTCCTCTATCTAAAGCATTTGCCCCTGGACAAGCAAAGCAATAAGGTTCTGTTGTGGAAAACCAACCCTTAATCGTATCAGCATCGCATTGAGCCCTGCAGCAGTTTCACTTCTTTTTGTTTCCCTTTCTGTCCGTCTGTCCCCCTGGCCTCCTTTACCTCGTCTCGGTAACACCTGCAGTTGTCAGATCTGTTGTTTTTATCACCTGTCTGTTGTTTACAGACAACTTGGCAGACTTGGCCCTGGGCTCCCAGTGGCAGCAGCAGTGATGGAGGGGTTGACAGGTGAATACAGGTGTCTGTAACCTTATCTCTTTCTCTTCCCTGCCTGTCTACCGTCTTGGATTCTTTCTTAGGGAAATGGGTGAGCGGTACCGACGGGAGATGTTGGCCCATGGAGGAGCTAAGGAGCCCATGCTGATGGTGGAGGGTAGGTTCAATCTTTTTGTCACAAATACTGATAGAATATCATGTTTGCCCACAAACATCTGTAAAGCGCCGTTCTGTGCCAACAGTTTGAGGTTTCGCCACAGTTCATCTCCAGGTTTCCTCCCAGATTATGGAGTTGTCAGTCCATTGGCGTCTAGCCCCATGATTTTTTTTTTTTTTTTTTTAAAGGGTGTGTCTAATTACTGCAGGTCGTGCCACAAACTTTGTTTTGACTTGCTGGACAGCCGAGAGTGTGACTCCTGCTTGGATTTGTTGTTTTTCTTTTCTCATATGAAGCAGAAAAGGCGTTCTCACTTAAAAGAAAGATGGAAGCTGCTGATCCAGCTGCTGTTGTTTCAGGTGGTCACAGCTACCACTGTTGTGGTTTGTCCCACTCTGCGCTTTAGATTCCACCGTGGTACATGTTTACTAGTTTAACACACCTCCCAAGGTCTCTTATCTTTGTTTACAGGAGCTTTGTCAGCCCAAAGACAAAGCCTGTCCTGCTCTTGGCGAGCTCACTCTGCGGCGGCTACACAGTGCCCCTTGCTAGTACAGCCCTTATTTGATCTGCTTTTAAAGGTTAACTAAAGAAGATAATTAAAAAGATAGCGATATGGCTCGTAGTGCTTTTTGTGTACACAGGCGATCATGAAGGAGGGAAAGACCGAAATGTTTGATTATAGGTTTGAGTGCTTAACGCTGCTGACTCTGCAGGGCTGAAAACACAGACCGGACCACTTTTGTGTTTCAGATCAAACAAACTAAAATATTCCAGTAACTATTCAATAGATTCATCGTTCTCAGTAAATCCTCAGGATTTCTGTGACTCAATTTTCTTGTTGTAACACCATGACATTCACATTCCTTTTGTTTGATTATTGGCACCAAATGGATCAATTTATGACGAATGTGTCACAGTAAACGTAATAATTTTGGTGATATGGTTACTTTTATCCAATCCCCATATAAGGTCAAATGTCAGTGGCCTCTCACAGTTGTACATGGGACTCCTGTTACGATGCGAGTGCACCAACTAAACTGGCAGTGTCTTTGCTTAAGGTGTTTAGTGCTGATATATCTGTATGGATGTGGTTGTGTGATGAAATTGCAGCAGCGTATTACGTGACCAACGCAGTATTAACAGGAATGGCTGCTCAACCGTTGGGTCTCCAGCTATCTGTGTCCCTGTTGCAGCGTACAGTAAGGCCTTACCAAGCTGCATTTATGGGTGAAACCCACAGACACTCATATTCTGATTAATGCTAAGTAATGTGTTAATAAAACTAGAATTTCACTCACCAAAACTGAAGCACACACTTGTGGGATGGTGTGTACCATAGAGCAAGTCATTGTATTAGTCAGATAATCCATTAAAATGATCCCAACGGCACCAGCAGCACACACATACAGCAGAGAGGCCCTTTATAAGTGGATGATGCTAGCAGACAGGACCTCTAAATCAGCATGTCACGCCCCTAACTAACTTATTCAAGCAAATATTTAAAATTTTAAAAAATCATCCCACTCGGAATTGCTATGGAAATTATCCATAGAGGCAAAAAAAACATTTTTATACCATTTTTTAAATATACATTAAATGTGCTTTTCCATACAAGACTGGTGAAATAAGTTTAATTTAATACGGGAGTCTGTGGGAAAGAGCCTACGTTTGGATGCTGCCTCAAGTGGCACCTAGAGGAACTGCAGTTTTCGCCATTGTTGCATTGACTTCATTTTTAATCTCAGGAGGTTACTCCTTGGAACATAAATGTCTTTGAGAGTATAGCCGGACACAAGGCAAGCTAGGTATATGCTTTATTAATTTATTAATTAACAATTAGTAAGGAATAAAAATGCATGAAAAGGTTTAGTTTCACCACCCTACAATTTACTGTCTTTTTAGTGCCGTTGTTAGCATGCTAATCCCAATTCGAGATGGCTAATGATTAGCATGTTAGCGCTCGTTTTTATTTTAAATATGCTGAGATATTTGAGGTATAAAAATTAGTGACAAGCTGGGCTGCAAACTCATCAAACTGCAGTTGTAGTAGAAACGTTCCTTGCTTAGGAGTGGGCCTATGTGATGATGTCCAGGAGCGGTTTCCTTTTATTACTTAAAGTAATCACACAGAAGTCACATTTTTGAGTGTATGAAATTTCCCCCATATCAGGAAAAAAAGATGTGTAATGCACTTTCAAGGAGTTTGGGTAGTTGAGCTTCATCGATGCTTCATCAAGGAGGAAACCTTTCACATTAAAGCACAAACAGAGGGTGTTGGAAGAGGGTGGACTTGAACTGCAAATCAAACGCATGCTTCTTTCTTTCCTTCTACACCCCTCCTCCAGCAGTTGCTGTGGCCTGTCTGGACAGGACAAAAGTGGAGAAGGTGAGAAGAGAGAGACACAGATAGAAAGATAGTGATATCGGGTAACGTTTAGGAGCGTACTGTAAATCTCTCCCTCAGGGTCACCCCCTCCCTCCTCCACTGGATTGTTCCTGTGACAGCTCCAAACAGGGCTGCACCCACTCTCTGAAATTAAAACCACCATTGGATCAGATCCTCGCTGTAAGATCTGTTGTCCAATTAACTGTTGCTTAACTTACAATATTTGCTTTTATGGTTTTCTTTGTAGCGAATGCTACTCTAGTTATAGTCCAAAGCCCTGCGTGAAGCAGAGTTTTAATGGTGGTTTTTATCGCTCTGGCTGCAAGTCACAGGGGAAGGAAGGCTCTAAAAAACGTCTGCTCTGGGAATAATGATTAACCCAGCGATTGCATTGTCTGACAGAAGATGCAGATCAAATGAAAGAGCCTTGGGAGGGCTAGATGGTAGATCCACTCTCACATTTTTTTGTCCATTGTCTGTCCATTGTGTGCACCTGCATTTATAATAATTTTATAATAATACATTTTTTTCCGTGTCTGGAGAAATGCTTCAGCTAAAGCAGAAGCTCTCTGCAGTTTAAAGAACCCTTATTGAGCCACCTCACCATTTTGATGAAAAACTACAAAACATCGGCACATGTGCTGAAATATTTAAGTTTCCACAGTCTTTGCTGAAGGGTTGATGGGTTCATAGCAGACATCCTGAAATCTTATTGAGGAATGGAAAATTGATTTGAAGTGAATTAGAATGGCTCTTTTTATGTCCTTAGCGGGGATTAGGCCAGCAGAGACCAGAACACTAGAGGAAGGAGACAGAATCCAGATCCAACCCATTACACATAATCCTTTCAAACAAAGAGCCTTGTAAATGGAGGTGTGTATCATTTCCCTGCTTATCCCCCTTAGGTGAGGTGGTAGAAGGGGCATAAGGGCACACGGGGAACCGGAGCAGACCTGGAAAGGCCAATCAGAGGCCAGTCTTTATCTGGATGCCTCCCTGCCTGCTCCTGGATGTTTCCCAGGAAAAGATGGTGTTGAAATGTAAACCCAGGTATTAAATTCATTGCGGCAGCATCACTGCAGTGAGAGAGAGAGAGTGAAAGCCGATCGACTGGCTAAACTGAACCTTGGGTCCTCCTACAGAGAGGGCTTTCATGGCCCAGGCTGTTCCCATAGTCTCAAACACTGAGCACAGAAAATGGATCTACTCGGGCTCTGTAGCAGGGACTCGGGACCTCGTTCATTCTTTGTCTGGGGGAAGCGTGACTGAATAGTTCTTATGACTGCTTGTACAATCAGTAATAAACCCCGAGGCGGGGTGCTTTGTACAATCCCACAGCACTTGTGAGACAGTGATGCATAGTTCTGTCTGAAGTCGAGGAGAGGATTGGATAAACCTCATAGTCCAGATGTTAAGCTGCAAAAGGCATAATTTACAGCCCGTACTTGAGTCAGACTCAATGTTTGCTCAGGTAAATGTTTAACTCGGGGGGGCTTTCCAAAATTGTCCTGAATTCTTACTTTAAGTCTGTGTCAGATGGGATATGATGGCTAACTGAAGTGCGAGTTCAAGAAAATTAAATTCTGTTTTTGCGCAGCAAGGGTGGACAATAGATTTTGTTTGGAGCACATTTCATGACAAACCATAAAGTGCAGGAAGAGCCTGTGCTGAGAGTAATTTACTTTGCTTTTCATCACATCTGTCTGCTTTTTGGCTTTTTATTTTCTCTGCCCGACCCTCCTTGGGGGGCCCTGACCCGCAGATATACGAGTTACCGAAGTTATTACGATTCACCCTGAGCGGGGACATAAATATGTTCAATAAATTTTATAGTAATCCGTCCAAAAGCTGCAAAGTAAATTGCATGGGAGCCATGAGCATCTGTATTATCCATCAAACATTTATTTAAATACTACACAGTAGAAGTGACCTGCAGCAGGTCACAGGATTCATGCTCAGAGGACCAGAAATGGCAGGGTGTCATGGCCATCCAAACAATGGCGGCTGAGGTATTTCAGTTTGGACTAAAGTGGTGGACCCACCGCAGACCCGTCTGTCTGCATAAACACTTAAAAAAAACTTTTAGAATGACCCGATGCATTAACCTGAATAAATCTGTTTGATGCAATTTTTTACATAGGTGTTGCTTTGGAAAGTTTATGAAGAGGTTGATGTGTTGATGTTCATTTTTAATTTGTGTGTGTGTGTGTGTGTGCTTACTCAACAAAGAGCCTCCCAGTGCAGTGTTTGTCATCACCCTTGTCTTGCTTGCTTTCTGGGCCTGTCTTAAGTGCGGTTTGTAGAAAAAGCTTCCTGAACTTCAAAGCTGTAATTACAGAGGCGGCGAGCCCCCGGGTCTGCCTGCAGGTCTGACAGACGTAGCTACTTTTCACACCGTGACAAGTTTGGAATAGTTATGAGAATCGGCTACTGAAGCAGCAAGTACCTTAAGATTTGTGAAAACGGTGTCAAACACTTACGGGGGAATACGAGGCGGCAGAGGAGACGAGGCTAGTTATCGCACGCTCCAGTTTGTGCACATTTCCTACGTAGCACACTGCTGCCTCGGAGTTGCAACTGGGTGTAACTGGCCTTCAAAAGAAGCCTATTAAATTGTGAAGTACCAAAAATACAAGCTATAGCAAGGAGTTAAGATCAATATGTTCTTATGAAAAAGTTTCAGCTTTTTCAGAAAGTATCTGTTGTGTGTTCTGTGAGGGAACCACGAATGCCATTCATGGTCTGTTTGAAGGGGACAAATTAAATGTGTTATTTTGCAAGAATAAATAAATAAGATGAGGCACCCTTTTTTTTTAAAATTCATTTATTTATTTTGCTTTATCAAATCATGGAGGTCATCAGACAGACTTTATCCATGCCATGCAAACTTCTGTTATTCATTTATTTATATGTTTTTAGTCAGCATCTCAGATCTTTGATAAATTCATCCAGCAGTAGCTGCAGGCTGGACTGCAATTTTAGAGCACTTGTACTAAATTCATGTCCCCTGAGCTGTCATTACCCAGACTCAGAGCTGCTAGCCAGCCACAGTGGCCTTCGTTGGACTGATACTCATCGCCCACCACCCTTTGAGTAAATAAACAAGCTTTTCTTTGCAGGCTATCTATTTACTGATGTGAAATGTAAAATCCCAGTGTAATTTAAAGATTTTACCATGAGGCTGGACCCATGTTTAATTGTGGAAAGACGTCAGGACGTCTTTGTATCTGAGGATGTCGTTTCAGGGAGCTGAAAAGATTTTGCCCTTGAAAGGTTTTTTGGGTTTGTGGGGTTTTTTTTGGCATTTTGTGCTGATAGCTGGTGACATAAGCGGAAAAACCAGGGGCTATTGTACGCCAGCAATTTGCAGTGTTTTCCATCTCCCTGAGAACCACTGTCCTGTTTAAAGAAAACAAGTGTCACAAACAACAGGAGGCAGTGGAAGTTGCGCTAAAGAAGAGGGTCTTCGACTGTTTTTACATCAGCTGGATAAATTGGGTGGGGTGGAGGAGGGGGACTTTTGATGTACCCTTGAGCAGGTAGTCAGTGGCCAGTTGGTCCATTGAGGCTCCAGTTTGTCTTTTAACATCCCAAAACTCCGTTGGCCAAGTTGGCTAACGATGCAAGCCCTGAGATGACTGTAATGATTAGAAGCCCCGCTCTTCAATAGCTGTGTCAGTGCCATTATGAATGGAAATGGAAACTCTTAAATACGAGATGACTCACACTGCAAAGGCTCTGTCCTCGGGCTGTACCAACAATGGGCACAAAGCACAGCCTATGTTTAGTTTGGCTCTGGTTTTTCCTCGGTGCTAAGCCAAGAGTAAGTGTACAGTTCTCCCCACCGTTTGTGACGCAGAGCCACTCACACCGTGTCTGTGCCTCTGCGCTGCTGTCGTCGTGAGCCGTGGGTACCTGGATGGCCTGTTTGAATGGATCTGTAGATCTCAGCTGTCTAGATTTGTTAAAGTGGTTTCGAACAAATCACAAAAAAATTAACTAGAGTTGCAGCGATTGAGTATTTTTTTTAATGTCAAAAATAATATTAAGAAACACGACATTAATATTAATAATGTCAGCAAAAGTTCAGGCAAACCTTGGTGGTTTCAGCTTTTCTTTTTTATATATCGCACTAAAATGAATATTACTGGCTTTTGAGCTGTCTGTTGAACAAAAGAGCATGCTGCCGCCATCACCAGAGGCTCTGAGAATCTGTAAATGTTCAATCATACTCAGTTTTCTTATCCCTATTAATTCAAGTGCAATCCTCGTTCATCTGCAGTGAGTGCAGGCTGTCAGTCTGCTGTTTACATCAGCTGTAAATATTACTGCAGTCTCAATATGCCGGGTGTCAATTTATGTCCGTTTACTTTTTACAAACCTATTGTTTTATATTTGTTGCAATTTCTGCTGCTCTCTCAACCAGATCACTCTGAAAAATGTGATCTGGTCAAGAGTCTCATCCTTTTTAGTGTTGATGAGACTTTTTAGCTGGATGAATAAAGGATATATAAAACTTGGCCAACAAACAGCAGCTTCTGCCTTGTGGCAGGAATGGTTTCTGTGGTTCAAAATTACTTGATATCATTCGTGAGAGATGGGTTTGATATGTTTTTTCACAGATTCTAAGCCAACAAGTTATTTACAGCAGTTTAAATACGGCCAATGTTTTTTTTTGGGGGGGGGGGCAACACTAGCGTTAGTGAAACCGTCTCTTACATTATAACATTGTTGGACTTGGACACTTGGTGAATAAACTCCCATACGATTTGAGAATGTAATCAAACTATTAATCAGATTGAAAGTGTGATTTTTAGGACATTTGAGCCCATCGTTATCTTCCATAGCGTTAGCTTTCAGCCAGCTGCTGCTGTCTTCCATCAATGAGCACCTGCTGTAATGTATTTTTAATGGATTAGTTTTATGTTTATGAGAACCCATCTGTTTGTTGGAAGACATAATTGCACACTGAGTACAATATTCAGTTTTTCTATTACATAACCTCCAAAATTACCGACTGTACCTTTTAATTACCCAGTGCTTCCATTCAGTGAAAATCATGAGCTGAGTAAAAAAAACGTATTCAGTTGACATTTTGATACTTTGAGCCATAAATTGAGAAAAGATCCAATATGTTCTAAACAACATCAAGCCTGTGAGCTTCATCTCTTTTACAACGTGGTGATTCCTCCCTGTGGGGGGGGTGTCTTGTGTGACTCGGCCCCTCCTCCCTGTGTGTATGTATAAGGGCAGCTTCTGAGATCAGATACTCCTCCACGGTGTTGTTATGACTCTGAGGTTATCTGTGCATTCCTCTCCAACTCTCCCAGGGGTCGTGGCTGAGAAAATCTCAGTCCTCACTGTGTATTGTTTTGCATGTTGTCATGTACCGTAAGAACTGTGTGCCAACACCATGAGCTGCTGCTGCTGAGCAGCTAGCATGGGAACTGTTGTTTACCTGACTAAGTTCCTTCACAGATTGCACTTCCTTTTCCACCTTTAGCCCCAGACAGACACACACACACACACCACCAGCACCTGTGCATCTCTCATCAGTCTTGTAGAGTAAACTTTGCTTGTTTAACACCACAGAAACTTGTAGCAGGTCAGGCCCCTTTAAACACAGCAAGGAAATGAAATCTATGATAAAGTGACGATGCTGCAGTACGTATGTATGTATGGAGAGTTCAGCTCAGTAGCCCTTAGCTCTGTTTGCACACATGCTGTAAAAAATCAACCAAAGTAAACAAGTGCCATGTCAGGACATGTGCGTACCTGTGTGTCTGTTTCTCTGTTGATTTTTGTGCTGCATATTTGAGAAGTAAAGGGAGGATTTGATTAGGTTAAGGCAGGAAAACTCTTCTGGGTTAAACTTGAGATTTTCAAAAGCATTTACGCATCTATGAGAAGCCTGCGTGACGGACCACTGAGAGCTGCTAACAGGACTGTGGTCTTCGACTGATATTTCTCATCATTAATTGGAAAACTAAATTCTCCATGAAAGAAAGTTGGGGCTTAAATTACAACGCTCACTTTGATCTGAGGTATAAATTCAGCATATTCTTTGTGAGCATCTAATAATGCATTTTGGTCTCTGCTTCAAACACGCCACAGACGTCAGCAGCGGTCAAAGGAGAAAACACCCTTCAGCTCTATAAACATGACTATCAGTTTATGGTTGGAGTCGTCTCTGTGATGTGGCTGGCGTGTTCACAGGGATCCCGGGGCCCTGCGGTTACGGTGTGTTTGGGACCCCTGTGTGATGGTATCTCACGTTGTAGCCAAGGGGCAGGGTGCGACTGGTGGGTAAGGAGAGATGGCAATCCTGCTGAGTCAGAATCATGGTGGAAACAGCACAGACTCCCGTGTGTGTGTTTGTGTGTGTGTGTGAGTGACTGTCCACATCTTGATATCTGTCTACATTCAGGATCGCTGTGTGAAACTCTTTGCGTCGCCATTCATGCGTGTCTGCAGACGTTCCTGTGTGCGTGTATGTGTGTGTGTGTGTTCGCGCACTCAATGGAGGTGACCTATGCAGGAAAGACGGGGAGGGGGAGAGTGCCTATTTACATTGGCAGCTGCACAAGGGGAAATGAACTGACTTCAAAGCGGGCGTGCTGCTGAATTGTAAAGTGAGCTAGGGAGTCCTCAATGCATGAGCTGGCAGACAAGCTCTGAAAACACACAGACATTCCCAGAGCTCACTCTCGGCTCCACCGTCATATTTGCTCCACGACACTGGACACATTCTTGTGTAATCTGTGTGAGTGAGACAGAGAATATAAAACATTGTAAATATACAGGAAATCTGCACATTTTGGTTACTTTAGTGCATATACTGTGATGGACATTATTACCAGCTGAGGCCTGTTCAGGTGTGAGTGTTTGAGCCCATTTTCTCAGTGTAAATACTGTGTGAGGAGTAAAAAGTGCTGCACTACATCTGCAGTAGTTTAGGATGTGTTGAGGCGCTTTTGTGGTAAAATGTGGCGATGTCCTTAAATCTTCACTTCAAAATGCAGATGATGGTGAGCAACATTGCACTGGGAAAAATCCATTGTAGTGTTGAGGAAGAGAAGCTGGAATTAAAAAAAAGTGCTGCAGCTGAAATCCATTAACTTAAAATGATTTTAGCTTAATTTGGGGAGAAAAAATGTAGCACTTGCTTCAAGGGATCTCAAAAAACAAAAGGTTTTTCTTTTCCTTTTTTATGACCACTCCTCTGTCATCAGATTAAAAATATTTCAGCACTAAGGAAAGCATGAATGAAGTAAGATGGAGTGATTGAAAACAGCAAACTAATTCTGGTGCCTCTCCTTGCAGCCTGCAAACGCCCCCTAATACCTGTGCCTGTGTTTGTGTGTGTGTGTGTGTGACAGGCATGCTGCAGAGACGGCCCACCATCGGGGACTTTGTGGACGCGCTCGTGTCTGAGCTCAACCCAAACTTTGAGACCTTCATCATGGACTCTGAGAGTTGAAGGACAGTTTTGGCTGCAAGGAAACAAACTTTATGAGGCAAAGATTGAGAGAACGCTGGAGAAATCAAAGACATGCCGTCATATTTCATGATCACTGTTTCTAAAGATCTTCATGTTTTCTGCAAATGAACATAATGTATATTTAATATATTTGACATGTTCTCTTGCTGCACACAGTTAAAAAGTTAAAGAACCCCAAAACTGTTGTAAAACCTTCTTTTTTTTAACCATTTAAACTTTAAAATGTTTAACACTTTAAACATTTGAAAGAATGAATAACAAAATGCAATCATTTTCACAGCTTATACCCCCAAAAGATTGTTCTGAGCTTGTGTAACAGCAGAACATTGTTTTGGTTTGGTTTTTTCCTGATCAAATCAGCATGAGGAAGAATACTTAATCCGTTCTTCCTGTCATGTGGACATTGTTTAGGCTTTAAATTAATACCGCTCCATCTGTTTTGTCTGTCAGGAGTTTGGGGAGGGGTGAAAAAGAAGAGCTTCAGCTTGTGAGTTTTTTACAGCACAATAGGAAAGATTTGGTCAGTTCTTATCATATTATTCATAAAAGCTGTTGCAACAGTATAAATCACAAAGCCACACAGTCTCTGGAAGTTTAAGAAGTTGTGCATATTTACAAAAACGCTCCACAGAGGCTGTTTGCATCTGTTCCAACAGTTTCACACTGTAGTCGTCAGCTGGGCTCTGACTGCAGCTGCCTTTGCTTGCCTTGTGCCAGCTCCGAGATGCAGATTCACGTCGCTGTTGAAAGTGTAAACACGCCATCAGACAGGCGGAGCCTGAGCGAGCTGGGTGGCTCGAACCTCACAGAGGCTGTAAAACTGTGATTTGACAGTTATGTGGGTGTGATGTCTCTCCAACATTGCTTTCAGATCTATTTCCAATTAAACCTGAAGCAAATTATATCAGCAGAGATTAAATGTAACTGAAGTGCACCCCCAGTATTAATGTTAGTGTAATTTTAGGCATCAAAACAAGTTGACTTGTCACACTGAGTGCTACGCCGCCTGTACAGATGGCTTTGGAAGAAACATAAGATGTTTAGATGAAATCATTCTTTAGTGATTTTTTTTCTGTGGTGATCAGCTGTCATATTTATAAAAAAAAAAATTAATTAGAAGAATAGATGGCAATATACACTTATCTGTTAATCTTCTGGTTAACACAGTTTCATGCACTGCATTCAGACTGGATCCTGCTGAAGTTCAAACTGAGCATCAAGATGGGGAATAAAGGTGAGTTATGTGACTTTGAACTGGCTTACAGAGACTTATCTGACAAGAAAGATATCCAGTGAGTGGCAGCTCTCTGGATGAAAATGCCTTGATGATGTCAGAGGAGACCGAGTTGATAGGAAGGCAACAAGTAACTGTGCTCATCTGCATACTTTGGTTGTAACAACACGGGAACTTTGAAGCATATGGACTACAGGAGACCACACCAAGTGACACTCATCAGCTAAGAACAGGAGACTGAGGCTACAGTTCGCATTGGGATCACCAAAATTACATAATAAACTGGAAAATGTTGCCGGGTCTTATTAGTACTGATTCTTCAGCAACATTCAGTTCAGTTCAATTTTATTCATACTGCCCCAAATTACAACAACAGTCACCTCGAGGCCCTTTATATTAAAAGGTGGACCCTACAATAATACAACAGAGAAAAACCCAACAATCATATGACTCCCTATGAGCAAACACTGGTGTAAATGGAAAGGAAAAACTCCCTTTTAACAGGAAGAAGCCTTTAGCAGAACCAGGCTCAGGGAGGGGCGGCCATCTGCTGCAAGCGGTTGGGGTGAGCAGAGGAAGACAGAACAAAAGATGTGCTATGAAAGGGAACCAGAGATTAACAAGTAATGATTCAATGCAGAGAAGTCTATTATCACATGAGTAAGTGACTGATTCAAAGCAGCGCAGTACCCAACTATGAGTTCATGGTTATTGATTAAAAAAAGAAGAAAGACCTCAGAACTTCATCCATATGACTGACTTTTTAATTTCATTAAAGAATTTTTACATTTAACAAAAAATAAAAATGATGACAGAATGTATGTAAACATGTTCAAGTGGTTTATTTACAAAAATGGCACATGGAAGTGACCAAACGCAACCATCGTCATAACTGGGTGCATGGGAGGGGGACATACATGATGCCTATCTATGTTACAAAAATATTGACCTATTTACTATCTTACAGTATCTACAACACATTTATCACTTAGACATTCCTCATCTTAACTTGTTCCATATTATCAAGATTGTCTTCAATGTGCAACATAATCACTTTTGACACTTTTTGTCACACTTCAAACTTTACAACTTTACACACAAAAGCTTCATAACACCAGCTGCTAAATGAGCGGTACAGTTTTTTTTTGTTTGTTTGCTTGCTTGCTTGTTCTCTTACACATGAAGATGCAAGACATTCTCGATGCAGAGCAGAGGCTCATTTTGATTCACTGCGCTCCACAGTAATAGGTCGACATTTGAACTTCATATGATTTTTACCTTCTGGGTCAACGAATTCACAGTCTCTATGCTTTTGTTTGCATGTAAGCACATGTTCTGGTAGATGGAGGGCTCTGAAGTGGGCAGAGTGGCCACACTGGTTGTCTGGGTGTATGTAGTGGTGGTTGCGGTGGGGGTTTTTTGTTTTTTTTTTGTGTTTGATGGGGGTGAACTAGTGAGAAATCCGACACAGGATCCGGCCACGGCTGTTGTCGAGTCCAGGGTGGTTCAAGGGTGGAACACAAGCCAAAGAAATCTATGTCATCCTGGAAAGAGAGCAGGAAGAGGAATGCAGACACGCAGCGATTAGTAACGTATCTACCCTCGCCCAGCCAAGAACCTGACTTAAAACAGGACAGTCTTGTCTACATCAAAGAACTTTATTTACCAGCTGCTCCTCATGGACACAGAGTTGCTTCCAAGGCTATAAAAAGGCAAGCCGTGAGTTTGAGAGCAGTTGATGAACAGCTTCTAACTCTCAGCAGGGATTATGGGATTTATTTCATACCGAGTCTGTGTTTTAAATCATGGGAGAGGCCATGTGATTTTTTTTTTTTTGCCCAGGCAGTTGGTTTATTCCCCCATTAAACCTTGAGGATTTTGTTTTTTTTAACCAATTAAAAAAAAATCTATCAGTGTTTCTATCAGTTGAGCTAATATTGCCTCACCTTCCTGAGTCGATACATCTGTCACAGCTTCACTGCAGCTCCGTGAGCTCCTCTCAGGGGATTTGTCCCTCAACCCGCACCTTTCCCCCTCATCCTCCTCTCCCACCACCCCAGGTCCTTCTGCAGGTTCATCAAAATACTCAGCCCTACAGATGGCCTCGGGATGTCCTTCCAGCTCCTCGTCCATGTTTGCATTTCTGGGAAGCATAATTAAGAAAATTGTAGTTAATATCATCCCAAATCTGTCTGCAGCCACACCCTGTGGCTTCTGCGTGCTGTCAGCACTTCAAAGGTGTCATTTAAATTGTATCTGCAACACCTCGCTGAAACATCTGAACGTTGGGCCTGAGGCGGTAAAGCAGAAGGGTACCAGTTTTGCACCTGACTAGCCTACTCTGAAGCTCCACCCACCTGATTATCAGACATTCTGTTTGCAAGTGGCAACCAATCAGAAAGGTTAAAGAGAGAGTAGCTAAAAGACTTGTTTTGAACTGTGAATCATGCACATTTAGTCTGGTAGAGAATAAAGACTAAAAATGCAGAGCTGGACATGAGCTTTAATGTTGAATTTAGCCATTAGCCACTCAACAGAGCCAAGTAGTGCAAACACTGCTGGTTCTTAGTCATTTCTGTCTGTGCTGACAAATGTTTGGATAAAGGTGTTAACCAAACCAAGCATGTTATCATAAGCTTTAATGTAATGCAAGAAATATGGAGTTACTCAGCAGCAGCATCTTAACCTCAGCTAGTTGCTCTTTGTGCTGTAAAAAAAAAAAACCAAAACAAAAAACTTCTCTCTTAAAATATCAGTTGTATTTTTTTTATCCTCACCCTTCACTGAGACTCATCTGGGACTGGAAAGGACTGTTACCCTGGCTGCGGCCCAGACTGCAGCTCTCATCGCAGCACAGAGACGGGATTAGATGGACGGGACCTGAACAGCACACACAGGGACACAACTTTACACAAACAGAAATTCACCCAGCGTTTGTAGTTATTGTCTGTCGATTTTAGTGCAAAATCCCTTTGATGTGAACCGGAGCCTACCACAGGTGTGTCCGGGGCTCAGGTGACACTGGCAGCAAGGTCTCTGTGGAAAGTCATGGAGCCAGCGGGCGTCCAGGCAGGAGAGCTCTGCTCCGCGGTAAGGACAGTCCTGAGACCTCAGAGAAGTTGCTGAGGAAACACACAGAGATGACAGATTAAGTAATGACTGTGAAACCTTTATAACAGCATTATTACCTTGATTGAGAAAAACCAAATAAAAGGTGGGACTAATTACAGAAACCAGTGTGGTACAACTTTGCTCGTATTATGACTTCTGTCAGGTGAAATCCTTCCAGCTCCAACCGTAGTGTTTATCTACTAAATGTACATGCTCTCTTATGCGTTGGGAAATGCCTTACAACCCTCGGGTCCATAAGACCAATTAAAATTCCTTTGTATAATTTAAAAAAACAACTGTTAGCATTTCGCTGGAGTGAAGGGCGGGGTGCGTGTTTCTACTGGCTGAAACTACTGATGAAATAATTAACTCACTTTACATCACACAAGTATGAAAAAAATAAAAAATAAAAATACACAGCTGGTACCTCCTTGGTAACTACTACCGCACTCATTGTTTGGAGCAAGCACAGCAAGGGAAATGTGATGTCATTAATTCTTTGCCTGGGGACGTTTCACATATTGAGGCATTTTTGGACTCAAGAATGCCGCAAATATGCAACATCAGGGTTTGATAAAGCTCAACACTGGACCCTGTTCTTACAGCTAAAAGGAGCAATGGCATGTTCATACAGCTGCCTTATTTACAGCTATGGGGTCCCTTCATATGCAGAATATTTCTTTGTTCTTTTTCCAGGTTGAATTGCATACATCTTTAATGACTTTCAAAACCAGGAATTGGGTGCACAAGTTTGAATTTAAATCCATTCAAATGAGTTGCTTTCCTGGTACGGACCTGGCTTTTACCATAGTTCACAGCTTAATGTTAGCCTGCTTTATCCCAAAACCAGTTCTGATGTGCGTTTGGAATCATTGTCCTGTTCAAACACCCAACTGTGCCCAAGTTTTAAATGTTTAGCTGTTTATTTGAGGTAAAGCTGAAGCTACCACTATTATGCTTGACAGTTTATACAGTGTTCTGAAGTTTGAAACCCTCACCTTTACTCATCTAAACATATCTCTTGTCATTGTGACCAAACAGCTCAATCTTTGTCTCATCTGACAATAAAACCTTTCCCTAGAAGACTTGTCCATGTGGGCAGCTGCAAACTTCAGAAGAGCATGAGGATCTACTCGTACAGTTATTTGAACTGATGATCTTAAAACCTGCAGTTGTTTAGAAATACCTCAAAGAGACCTTCCCTACTTGTCTAAATCGTAGATCTTCACCGAGTTCCTTGGACTTTCCCATTGTTCTGAATATTGGTCAATCCACTGAGTGCTATCAAGCAAATCCTTTTTATGCTGGCAAAAAGAAACTACCAAAAATCCAAAATAATTTCAAACTTGTGCATCCAAGTCTTGTTTTTTTAAATCATTAAAGATGTATGCTGTGCAACTGGAAAAGAACAGTGCAAAATAACCATAAATAGCCAAAAATAACCATGACATTCATGCCCAAAAAGGGTGTGTAAACCTCTGATTACGTTGTGTAAGGACTACAGACTCCAGCTTCCACATAGCTGCCCTCTCGGCACGTCTTAAAGCACACGTTTGAGATAACTTATCGCCATCTTATCTACACTGTTTGATGTTGTATAACTAAATACGTTTTGGAACACTGATGAGCTTTCCTTTGTTTTTGGAAAGCCTGACTAGAGTACATATCGAACTAGAAATTTTACTGTGCCCTGAAAGTTCAGCACCTGATGCGGGCGTTCAAAGTCCAATGCTTGCTGTGTTGTCAAGGTGCATGAAAACATTCTTGCACTAAAACTTTAATCTTACTTACACATCTGCTACAACCATGCTCATTAAGTTCCAGCTCTTATTCCGATGGTTCTTTTGGACACAAGAAAATGTGAAACATGCGGCTTCAGAGCATCGGGACTCACCGCTGGGCTTCTTCT